GAGCTGCAGGTGCTCCAGCAGCTTCCCGACCTGGACGGTTCCAGCTGGTTCTTGAGGAACCGCCGCCGGGTGTTGGAGGCCAGTCGAGAAGCGAATGGGATGATGGTATCGCTGGAGCCGCCTCCACCGCCACCGTCCGACGGCTACGAAGTCCGGGCCTTCAGCGAGGCGGCCGTGCCTGGGGGCGCCTGGGCCAACAACCTCAACGTGAGCGCGGGCAGCGTGGAGGAGCAGCCGCGCTGCGGAGTTGCCGCGCTGCGCTTCATTGAGAGGGAGGTCGAGAAGGGCCAGTTGAGCCACCAGCTGCTCTTCGACCTGCTGACACGTGCGGTCACGCTGCAGCCACTGCCAGAGGATCCGCCACACCTGGTGGCCGCATGCCTAACGCGGGCGCACGGGCCTGCCTCGGCCGCGCTGGCAGCCCTCTGCCGCAGCGAGGCGCTGGGGCTGTCGCTGCCGAGGGCGCCGAAGAAGCAGGGCATCCTGCCCACGACTATGCAGCGGGGCTGGCTCAAGGAGGTCCGCGAGAAGTTGGCGATGGACGTGAGGGACAACCCGCTGCCGGAGCCGCCGCCGCCCGCGCCGATTCAGCGGGGGGCCATCGGAGGGCAAGTGTCGACCCTCGCTCCCACTACCAAGCCGTACCAAACCGTCCTCCACCGAGCCCCGCCCCCTGTTTGTGCTGTCCCCCTGGCGGCAACTCTGGTAGGGCCTGGTAGAGGAAGCCCCTCGAGCGGGGGTCGGACCTTCTCCCCCGAGGTGATGCTGGAGGCGAGCCACCAGACTGCGTGCTGGCCCTTCGCGCAGGCGGCGGACCGCCACTGCCAGCCCGTCCGCGGGCTCCCGGAGCGGCGCGTCCCGCTCCAGGAGCTGTGCTCCGCCTTCGTGTCCCGGGCCACCCAGCCCGCGCAGGATGATGGGCCTGTTTTCTACCACCACCGCCATGAGCTGGAGGGGGAAGGATGTGGAGGACGAGGAGAAAGAGGAGGAAGAGGAGGACGAAGAGGAGGAGGAGGAGGAGGAGGAGGAGGAGGAGGAGGAGGAGGACGAGGAGGATCGAGGAGGAGGAGGGGGGGGGGGAGCGGGTGGGGAGGGGGAGGGAGGAGGAGGAGGAGGAGAGGGAAGGAGGAGGAGGCGGAGGAGGAGGAGGAGGAGAGGAGGAGGAGGGGAGGAGGAAGGAGGAGGAGGATGAGGAGGAGGAGGAGGAGGAGGAGGACGAGGAGCACCCCCTCCCCCTCCAACTTATGGTGGTGATGGTAGAAAACAGGCCCAGCGCAGGACCCCGCCTGGGCCCCCTGGGTGCTGGGCGAGCTCGAGAGGGACTGGCGCTGCACCCCGAGAGGGCTGCTTCGGTGGCAAAGCATGGGGACCTGGCATGCCCCCGCCACTCCGCTTTAGGAGTGCATTCTTCACCACCCATCAAACCACCCCAACCCAACCCGAAGGCTTCAATTTACCCTCCATTTCCAGTGGAGGGGGGGTCGGGAAACATTGCAAAAACACTTGGAACCCGTACCCCTCCAACCTGGAATTCGGGTCAAATTCGGGTCTTCGGGTTGGGTTGGGGTGGTCTGGCAGGTAGTCAATTCTAGGGTCGCTGACAGTGGAAACCCATGCCAATGAAACATTCTACTTGCCTCCGGGGTGTCCTGGGTTTCTTGGGCTTCAATGGTTTTGCAATGGAAAGCGTGACGCTCCCACACCAAGAATCAATGGACGTCCTGGGGTCTCAGGGTTGGGTTTCTTGTGCAAGGTTTCTTGTGGTCGAGCTCCTACTGTAGCGTCTGGCAAGCGCTGAGATGGCGCCCGAATTAGCGTCGATAGTCGGGTTGACCCAAGAGGAGGTCCCAGCGACAAGGGGTGGTGCAATAGATTTGGTGCAATGGATTTGTGGGGTTGCAGTACGTTCGGGGGGTGCAATACATTCCGGGGCGCAGATGTATTGCTGGATTTTCGCGTGCAAGACATTACTTGCAATACAATGCAATACAATCCCCCGGCGCAATACGTTTGCAATACGATTGCCCCAAATCTATTGCACCACCCCCTTTCAGCTGGACCCCCTTTTTGGGTCACCCAAAGATTGGCCTCGATCCAGCGTCGATCAGCGTGGACTCGCAAGAGCCGACAAGATGGCATCGTAGGCCTCCCCTGCGCTGCCGCAGAAGGCTGCGCTGGGTGGGGCGGCTGCGCGAGGCCGCCAGCGAGCTGCGGGTGCCCTCGGAGGTACCGGTGTTGCAGCCGGGGTGTGCCGCGGGGCTCTCCGCGGCGCTGGCGCGGCAGCTGGCCGAGGACCACGCGCAGGTCGGGGGCGGCAAAGACGGGGATGATGGCAGGGGGGGGGGGGGGAGATCATGGCGGGGGCCATGCTGTCTCCCCAGATGTCATGGCGCCTCGTCTTATTTCAAGACATCCTGGGCCCCGCCCCTGGGCCGCGCAACATGCCGCCAGCCACGAGTTGCGGCCCCCCCCCTCTGGACGCTTTGGACGCCCCCGAGCAGGCGACGGAAGCGACGGCGAGCGCGGAGGCCGCCGCTGCCGCTTTTCAGGGCCCCGACGGCGAGCTGCGGCAGCTCGAGGCGGCGGGGGCAGCGCTGCAGTCACTTGGCACCGCGAGGACCAGCGAGGAGCATCCTGGACCCTTTCATTAGCAACAGGCATAAAACAAAGAGCGCTCGAGAGACCGAATCATGCACGGGGAATGGACGTCCGAGCGATGGCGAGATCGTCGTGCTACCATCAGGAGCGCCGGATGAGGAGCGGAGGGTCTTTCCTGGCCACGGCGGGCCTCGGCCAAGAGCAGGTCCCCGGACCAAGAGCTGGAGAGCGGCCCGACAGCCCGAGCCCTTCCTGGGCCCAGAGGGGTCCTCGTGCCAGCGCCTCGACTGCCGGGGCCTCTTCGGACGGCGTGTGGCGCCGCCGGGTTGGGCCCTCCGCGCTCAGGAGCGGCACGCCATCCGCATCCCGGTCCCCAGGCGCACACGTCCCGAGCCTGTCCGAGCCTCCCGCTTGGCAGAGCGGAGCGACACGCTATCCGCTCGCAGGGCATCGCGTGTCGTCGGGGCCGCCGCCGCGACACGCTGAGCAAAAGTGCCCGACCGTGGGCTCAGTGGAGAGTGCATCGACCCCCTGTCGCCCACTGGTAGCCGGCAGGGGCCTGATAGCCCGCCCCGCCCAGGAACGTTTGGATTCGCTGTCGGAGGCCCCAGCGCCGATCGATCGGCGATGCATCGCCGCTTCCAGCTCGATGCTTCCCCCTGGGTGGGCCGTTCCCCCCCCCTCGTTGCGCCCCTCAGAGGCGCGGGGCGGGCTGAAGCCGAGGCTGGACTTCGCCGCGCTCCTGCGCCTGTGGATGTCCGCGGACGCGGAGGGCGTCCTCGCGGCCCTTGGCTCCGAGGCCTCGACGCTGGACTGGGTGGCGCAGGCCCTGTTCCTGCACGTCCGCACCCAGCAGTGCACCGCCGCACTGCGCGAGCTGCGGGCGGACCTCGAGCGGTCGGGCTCCAGTGCTGCGCAGAGCCAGGCGGTGCCGGAGGAGATCTCGAAGGAGCTCAGAGGTTGTCAAGGGTGTTCGCGGTGTGGTCGGTCCGGTTGCGTCGCAATCGGGTGCGTTCGGTCTGTTCGGTTCACTCGGTTGTTGTGCCGTTGCCGCGTCGCTGCGCCCTTCTGGGCTGCTTGCGGCCTGCCGATGTCGGTCGGTTTCGCTGTCGGTTCGGTCGGTTTTCGGTGTTGCTGTCGCCGTGCGCAGCCTTGACTACTTACCCCGCCTTCGCTTCCAGGCAAAACCAAGACATACCACGCGCCTCCTCGTCAAGCGGCCCGATTGCTGCGGACCACCCTACGCGAGGCCTGGTATCGCTTGGCTCCCGTTTGGAAGCGAGGGTGGTCAAAAGAGAGGTAGGTTCGTCTGCCTCCCAGGAGCGCCACTACCTGCAGAAGGGCCCGGGGCACGCCCAGCTGGACCCGCGCATGCTGGCGGGCGAGTTCCTGTTCGGCATCATGCTGCGGGAGTCGCAGGTCGTCGTGCTGAGAGCCTTCCTCACGGGCGGCGGCGACGCGAGGGTGAACCAGGCGAGCGACGCAGCAAAACTGGTTCGACCGCGCCGACATTCGCGCAGAAGTTGCCCGCGCAAGGTCGCGCGCAGGCGCCCTCGTCTCCATTGCAGCGTGCCGCGCTGGCGGCCCGCGCAAGCCACTGCGTCAGGTCGCCGCGCCATCTCGCGCAAGACCAGTCTCTTTTCGTCGTTCAGGTGCTCATGGGCGGCGGGAAGACGTGCGTCATCTTGCCGCTGGCCGCGGCCCTCCTGGCCACCCCGGAGCGGCTCTTCGTTGCCATCATGCCGCCGAGCCTCCTCGCCTTCTCCCGGCTCCAACTGCGGCAGCGGCTCGCCAGCCCGGTGCTCGGCGTCCCGGTGCTTCGGCGACGAGAGCTACACACACACATCCACAGCCACTGGACAGGCCCATCCTGGGCCCAGGAGTGGTGTCTGTGCCTCCCTGGTCAGGCCAGGGAGCGTCTGCACCACTCCTGGGCCCAGGACGGCCCTGGCCAGCGGCGGTGGATGTGTATCGATCTCGTCGCCCTAGGTGCTCACCTTCGCCTTCACCCGCTCCACCGCCGTCACCTCGGAGATGCTCCAGCGGCTTCTGCACGCGCGCCGCCGCCGCAGCGTCATCTGCGCGGCGCCCGCCAGCGTCAAGTCGCTGTTGCTCAGGGCCGCCGAGCTCGCCAGCCCTCGCACGGCTGCGGGCAAGGCCGCCGCCGCAAGCGGTGGGTTCCGGCGCTTCTTCCACAGCATGAAGACTGCCGAGTCCATGGTCACTGGCGTCGCAGAGGTCGGCTACACGTAAGATTGAGCCTTCGACGGGGTGACCTTCGGTGCGCGGCTTTCGGGCAGCTCAAGGGGCCCAAGACTTGTGCGCGCAGGCTGCTACCGACACGCAGCACGCAACGGTCCGCAAGCCGCGCACCAAAGGTCACTCTTGCCAAGGGTCATTCTTGCGCGCAGCCGAAGAGGAGGAAACGTTTGCCGCCCAGATGGCGGAGTCCATCGACGGCGGCGGCGCCAGCGTGAGCGCCCTGTCGGTGGTCCGCGAGGCCCTCGCGGTGCTGCAGGGCGGCGTGTCGCTGATCGACGAGATCGACTGGGTCTTGCACCCGCTGAAGAGCGAGCTGCACTGGCCCTGTGGGCAGCAACGGCCGCTGGACCTGACGGAGCCCGCGAAGGGGAGCCCGGAGCCTGGGCTCCGGTGGCGGCTCATGAGCGCGCTCCTGGACGCCGTGCACGCTCCGGAGGGCCCCGTGCAGGACCTGCTGGAGCAGGCCGCCGCCGCGCACATGGTGACCCTGCGGCCGCACCCGGTGGTCCTGGACCGCGACTGGTACTTCCGCGCCATGCTGCCGCTGCTGGCGCAGGAGCTGGTCCGCTTCCTGCAGCACCGCACGCCCGTGCCGACTGGGGAGCTGCTGGACTTCCTCGTCCGCGGCAGGTGCGGCAGCACCCTCCGGCGGCTGCCAGACGTGGAGGCGAAGCTCGTGACGCTGGCGAAGCAGCTCCTCGGCAGCGTGTTGCCGCACCTCCTGAGCCTGCCCCACCGGGTCCGCTACGGCCTGCTGCACGACGAGGCCCCGGGCACGACGCCTGCCTCCGAGGCTCTGCTCGAGGGCCCCTCCCGTGCGTCGCTCGGCCGGGGGGCCAGGCGGGAGCTGCTGGCCGTGCCGTTTGTGGGTAAGGACTGCCCCGCCCTCGCCTCCGAGTTCGCGCACCCGGACGTGGCCATCTCGAGGAACAACTCTTGGCATGAACCGACGCTTTCGGAGGTCCGCGCGGATGTCTTGGATTGGCGCTGATCCCCCCTCCCTGGCGCAGGGGGCTCCAGCGCCGATCCGGGGAATCTGCGCAGATCTCCGACGGCTTATGCTCACGCCATTTTGTTGCTCCTCGGCCATCGGCCTCACCCTGCTGGCGTATCGCTACGAGGGCATCCGCAGGCGGGACTTCGCGCTGCTGGCGAAGCTGCTGCGCCTCGAGATGAACGAGGAGCAGGGGAGGAAAAAACACCTCGACCGCCATCATCGGTTGGCGGCGCGGGGGAGGGGGGCAGGGGGGAGAGGGGAAGGCTTCTCAGAAGGAGGCTGCTCCTGAGTAGGGCCCGCGCCTTCTGAGAAGCAGCCTCCTCCTGAGAAGCCTTCCCCCCTCCCCCATGCCCCCCTCTGCGCGCCGCCACTCTGGCGTTTACTCCACGCCCCTGGGCGTTTACTTCAGGCGATCGCAACCATGGATCAAGGGGGCGTGGATTAGCGACGGGTCCCGTTTCCATGGGAAATCGCAGATTCCCGCCGCCGAACGAGGCGGCACCGTCCGCATTTTGGGGAAGGCACCTCCCCCGGTCCATGGAATCGGCGACCGCGCGCCAAATCCATGGATCTCTAATCCATGTTTGCGCGCCCCCCGATTACTGCACAACACTGCCCTCTTCGGTTCCTTCCCCGGGGGCGTTCACCAATCGTCGGGGGGTGGTTCTCGCGAGGGCGGCCCTCGTCGGGCGGCTTCTCGCGAGGGCGGCTCGCGCTTCTCGGTGACACTCGGGCAGCGTGCAGGAATTGAATCATCTTCGCTGGTTTTTCTGCGCGGACGGGTGGGATCGGAAGAAAGGGGAGTGACCTCCCTGCTCCCTGCAGGAGCGCGGCCCGCACGCGAGGCGCCCGACGTGCCTGCGCTGGGTGTCCATCGTGCGCGAGGCGGGCGCCCGCGTCGCCGGCTTCAGCTGGTCGGGCCAGCTCCTGGCGGACCTCTCCAAGGATCGTCTACACGTAAGCTGAGGTCGGGCCTGTCCCTCCACGGGAGGGATATTCAAGAAATAGTCAGGGGACGAATCCAACAGTACTAAAGAAATAGTCAGGGGACGATGTTTTGGACTAACTTTGGGTTTTTTGCTCAGCATTTTTGGACAAATTTTCATTTGTCGCCCAAAATCCGCCTGTGGGAGGACGTGCCCGACCTAAACGTAAGTGTGACCCTTCGCCGGAGTGACCTTTGGTGCGGGCCCATTGGGGTCCCCGATCGCCAAACGCGAGGCGGCAGTGGCGTCTTGCGCGCTTGTGTTTGCCCCCCCCCGCGGCCCCACAAAAAGCCACGCACCAAAGGTCACTCTTACCCAGAGTCACTCTTACGTGCAGCCGAAAGGACGAGGCCCGCCTGGACGTCGCCCCGGCGGCCATCCCGCAGGACGGTCTGGAGGAGCTGCGCAACAGCGTGTGGCCCCTGGAGATCGGAGAACAAGAAACGGCATAAACATAAGCTGTCGACGGTCCGCGAGGATTTCTTGGATCTGCGCTGGGCCACCCTGGCGGCGCCTCCGGCGCCGCCCCAGGCGCGCTCCGCTCGCCAGGGAGGGGTGTCTGGCGCAGGTCCAAGAAATCCGCGCGGACCGTCGAAAGTTATATTTATGCTGTTTTTTTCTTCTCCTAGGAGAGGGTCACGATGAAGGACGAGGCCCAGATCAGGGTTCTGTGGTCCCTGCTGCGCTTCACTCCGGGGGCCATGAAGCACTACCTCTTCGAGCACGTCTTCCCGTCAGTCATGGGCCTGAGCGACTCGCAGCTCTCGTGTACGGCACAGGAGTTGGGCAGCTCGGTGCTCTTCCACCGCCGCCTCGGCTTCAGCGGCACGCCCTCGGAGGTGCTGCCCGCCGGCATGGGTGAGGTCCACTACGAGAAGGGGTGTGACGCCCGCATCATGGGAACTCTCCTAGACCCGCGCGTGGTCGTGCGGGCAGAGACGCTCGCGCAGGGCTGGGACCCTGAGGCAGGGCTCGACCTAAACGGTGTTTTGGCGATATCGAGGATCGTTTTCGTTTGGATGTCGTTTTGCAGCAAAGGCGGGACGAAGACAGAACGAGAGAAAGCCAAAACAAAACGAAAACGGAAAACATTGATTAGGTCGAGCCCCGCCCTGAGGCGCTGCTCCGCCGTGCAGGATGCGGCGAGTTCCACGCCCTCATCGACGCCGGGGCACTCGTGGTCGGGATATCAAACGAGGAGGCCGCCAGGGTCATCCTGCGGTCCCTCCCTCTCCAGCCCTTCGCCGGCGTCGTGTTCCTGTCTGCGGCCGACGAGTGTGTGGTGCTGCTGCGCGACAATCGAGTTCTACCCCTCGCGGGCTGCGGTCTATCCGCAGAGCAGCGGTTCACGTTCTATGACCACGTGCACACGACTGTCGGGCACGCGCAGAAGGGGGGCAGGGGGAGGGGGGAAGGCTTCTCAGAAGCACCCCTGCTTCTTAGAGGGCGCGAGCCTTGTCTACATATGTAGGGCCCGCGCCTTCTGAGAAGCAGCCTCCGTCCGAGGAGCCTGCCCCCCTGCCCCTGCCCCCTTGTGCGCGCCGCCAGGACTGGGCTGGACGTCCCCCAGGCCCACGCGGCCAAGGCGGCACTGACGCTGGGGAAGGACACGCTGTGGCGGGACTACGCGCAGGCGGCCTTCCGCATGCGCGGCCTGGCCCCGCGCGGCCAGACGCTGCAGCTTCTGATCCCACCGGAGGTCCAGCACCTGATCGACCGGGCGGCCGCGCCGCCGGCCCCTGAGCCCGAGGATCGGGCGCGGCCTGACCGACCCCCAGCAGACCATCCCCTTCTGTGGCTTCGTCCTCGCCTGTCAAGCAAGCTTCCCTCCGGCCGCATACATACGTCCTGGGGCGAGGCGAGGGAGACGTCTCGGAAGGGGACGGTCTGCCAGGGGTCGGTTCGGTCGCCTCTGAGAGGAGGACAGTACCGAGCTCTCGGCAGTCCCAGACGGGCTGGACCGTGGGCCGGCCAATGCCGAGACGCAGCGGCCCGCCGATGCCTTCCGGGATCGTCCCAGCGCTTGCGACGACCTCATCTCGCTGTCGCCGGTCGTCTCTGGCGAAACTGCGACAGCGGCCCAGGGCACGGCCACCACAGACCTCCTATCGCTGACGCCCGCTGCTCCCCCGGCGACTGGTGGGAATGAGCGCTCGTGGTTCGACCACGCAGGGCAGCTCGCAGGAGTGCTGCGCTCCGCCGCGGGCCACGCAGGCCAACTCGCAGGCGGTTGGGCCACGCAGGGCAGCTCGATCAGCACGACAGCGGACCACGCAGGGCAGCTCGCAAGGGTGCTGCGGTGGACCGGTGGCAACAGCCTGGCCAGTGAGGCCCAGCAGTTCACGCTGCTCTGTGAGCAGAACGTGGAGGCCCTGTGGCGTCAGCGTGCCTGGGCGGTGGTGCAGGGTCGCGGCTCGGAGGCAGGCCCGGGCGTCGTGGCGAGCCTGGCGGTGCTGCGGACCCCTCGGGAGGACGTCATCCCGAACGACCCAGACCCCGTGGTCGAGGACAAGACGCTGGCGCAGTGCCTAGCCGAGCGCCTGCAGGCGAACTCGCACTGGCTGACGCCCGAGGTCGAGGCACTAGGGAGCAAGCTCATATCCGAGGCCGCGAGCTTGACGAGCGAGGGCGGTGGCAAGAAGCAGCGCGGCGCTGCGAGTTCCAGCGGCAGTGGCATGGAGCAGGAGCAGGTGCAGGAGCAAGAGGAGGAGCAGGAGGAGGAGCAGGAGCAGGAGGAGGAGCAGGAGCAGGAGGAGGAGATCGAGCGCGACGACGAGGACGAAGACGCCGCGGATCAGAAGTACTCGCGCGAGGAGGAGGTCGACTTGCCTTGGAGCCCTGAGCTCCTGTCCAGGGCGCCTGAATTTGGTGGAAAGGGCTTCCCATTCTACATGTGCAAGGACGGCCTGTCCGTCTACAACGGCAGGCTGCTGCAGGCACAGCAGTGCGTCGAGTTCCCGCCCTGGTTCGCCGCGTCGAACAACTACCTGCGACAGGCGTGGCGCCTGCGCGCCACGCGCCGGCTTAAGAACGTTGTCATGCTGCTGGAGTGGGCCCCACCCAGCGTGTGGTCCTCTGCGTCGGGCGCCAACGCCAAGGCCGCCCTCAGCGCGGCCCTGCGCGCATGCGAGCTCGACGGGGCGCAGGAGGAGCTCAGCCCAGAGCAGGCCCGTGGGCTCCTGGAGTGCCTGCACCAGCCGCCCCCTGGGGGCGGCGCGGCAGGGAAGCTGGACGTGGCGCTCAGCAGCGTCCGAGCGCTCCTGGGCCACCTGGAGCAGGCCGCGCCCGTCTGCCCGACGGAGCCGGGCAGGTTCTTCTGCCTCGTGTCGCTGTTCGAGGCAGAGCACCTCCGCGCGCTGCTGCACGCTCGCCCCTCGTACCGGCTGTGCGTCGCGCTGCGGGCGCCCGGCGTGTTCGAGGGCATGCCCCTCGATGCGGCCGCGGACTTCGTGCAGGGCCCCGCCTTCCAGGTCTACGCCGCGGAGCAGCTGTGCCGTTTCGTTGACTCCGAGTCCTCGTACAGCTCGCGCGAGCTCTGCGCCGTGGACTTGGCACTCGCCGGCAGCAACCACGCGGCGCGGCGAGCCTGGTGGGAGCAGGTGCGCCGGTGCCGAAGGAGAGCCCAGGCGCGAGACGTGCCCGCATTGCCCGTGGCGGCTTTGCTGGTCCCGCCCGAGCAGCGCCACAAGGAGCACCTGGACAGCGCGGTCGCGAAGGTGAAGACGATCCTGCGGCGCCGTGGCGTGTCCGCCCAGCAGCTCTTCAGCCAGAATGCAGGCAGGGGGGACCTGCCCATCGCCGCGGCGGACCTGGCCACGGGGCTGCAGCAACTGGGCATGCTCAGCGCGGCCGAGGCCGGCAGGCTCGCCATGGCCGCCGCGCTGCTCGACGCAGGCAGCGCTCCCAAGCAGGCCGAGGCGGCCAGGTACGTTCCACCCAAGCAGGCCGGGGCGGACCTGGACTTGCGCATCGTTGAACGTATCCCCATTCCCACCAGGCCATGGTATCTGGGCCCCTGCCATCCCACCCCCCCAGCTGGGGACAGGCCCCTCGAAACCAGAAGGGAACAGCCTATATCTCCCATCTAGGGGGGGGGGAACTCTGCCAGTGGGGCAAGGCCATGCCAGTGGGGATGGGCATCGCTTAAACGATGCTCAGGACCTGCTGGGTGCGGGGCCAGCGGAGACGAGGGTGAGCCTCGCCGGCTTCTGCAAGCTGCTGGGGACGGTGCCCAAGGAAGCCGGCGAGGACGAGGACGTGGCGGAAACCATGGCCAGCAACCCCGCGAGCCGCGGCATCATCGAGCGGGAGACGGCCATCCAGTTCCAGTGTGGCCGCTGGCAAGTTCGATTGGTTGCCCACGATCGGTTTCTCTCCGTGTGGTCGTCGAAGCGTGTGCCTGGGACAGAGGTCCACCGCCAGAACATGTCCATATCCACTGCCGCGGGGTTGTGCCCTGAGATCTCGAGGAGCGGCAGAAATGGATATCTGCCCGCCCACGCTGGTCGCGAATGTGCGTCGACCTTTGCGCCTACGTTCATCGACGCCGTCAGCTGTGGGAGGATGCGAAGTAGGGAAGGCGGGGAGGGTAGTGGGAGGGGGCACGAGCAGCAAGTGCAGCAGCACCATCTGGATGTCCTGCTCTGTCATGGGCACCGTTTCGCCGAGATCCCAGGGTGAGACCCCCGCGGCAGTGGATATGGACACACCCTGGCGGCGCAAGAGGCCAGGCCATTCGGCATCTGGCGCCCCGACGTCAAGGGCGCTGCCGGAGGCCCCTCCCTCCACAAGGGGCTCCGCGCGCTCGTGGGCGCGCGGAGCGAGGGCCGCACTTTCGTGCTGGGGGACCTCGGGGTTCGGGGCTTCGAGGCCCCCTCTGGCGGCCTCTCCCTGCAGGTGCTCGGCACGATTCGGGGTAGCAAAGCACGGCACAGACATACGCTGTGGGAGATCCGCGCGAATTTCTTGAATCTGCGCTGGGTCTCCCTGGCCGCGCCTCCGACGCCGCCACTGGCGCGCTCCGCGCGCCAGGGAGGAGGGTCCAGCGCGGATCCAAGAAATCCGCGCAGACCTCTGAAGGTTTGTGTTTATGCCGCTTTTTGCGACTCTGGCGACCGAAATGGGTGCGGAAACAGCGGGTACAAAGTCCAACAGCAGTTCATGCCCATTTTGAACAGGACTCGCTGTCGGTGTCGCCGTGGACGTTGTCCACTCAAGACAGACTGCCGCCTTCCCAGCAGCGGCCGCTGTCGGTTTTGGGCGACATTTGCTGTTGGGCCTCGCCCCCGTTCCTGACGAACCAACAACACATACACACACACACCCATACCCATTGGGGGGTCGGAGAGGGCCATGGGTGCGTGTTGTCGGCCGGGGGTCCCCGCTCGAACGGGAGCCATCCCCAGGGTCCGACACCCCTCACCCATACCCATAGCCGGTCCTCCTCCCAACGACCCCCGATGGGTCTGTGTGTGTGCTGTGCGTTCGTCAGTTTCGGGCGTCCACAGGTGCGGCACGCCAAGAGCCCGCCGAAGGGCAGCGGTGCCGGCCTCGGGCTGGACGCCTGGCTCGCGCGGTTCCTGCCGAAGCCCGTGGCGTTCCGCCTGCTGTGGTTCGATCGCCGCGGGGCCGAGGCTCTCGCCGAGCCCGGAAGGGGCGGGGGAGCGAGCTACGAGGGATTGTACGTCTGGCGGCCCGTGCCGCCCAGCGAGCTCTTCGTCGCCGTGGGCGCGGTCTGCACGACCGACCACAGCGAGCCGAAGGACGTGGAGGTGCTCGGAGGAGGGAAAGGTACTGGTACGGCTGCCCTTCGCCCGGTCTCCTATTCTTTTCGGGCCTCCTGGGAGGCCCTCGTCGCCACTGCCGGATTCGCTTCGAAATTCTGGTGGGCACGCACGGTATCTACCGTTTGGTCTCCCCAGGTGCGATGTGTACCGCGTGCCTGGCTGGTGTGCGGCGACTCTCTGGGCCCGACGCTGTGGAGTCTGGGATCACGTCGGGCGAAGCTGGGGGGGGGGGGGGCGATTGGGCAAGGGGGGGTGCGAACTCTGTTGGATGCAGCTGGTTTCGGTCCCGCCGCCAGGCACTTTCCTCGAGACATTTCGAAGAAGAAAAATGGCATAAGCATAAGCTTCTGGCACTCCGCGCGGATTTCTTAGATTTGCGCTGGGCCACCCTGGCGGCGCCTCCGGCGCCGTCCCTGGCGCGCTCCGCGCGCCAGGGAGGGGAGGGGCGAAAGTTTATGTTTATGCTGTTATTTGCTCTTCTAGCATTGGCGCCTCGGGCGCCGTAAGTCGCTGGGAAAAAGATTTGCTTTTGCTATTCGCCCCTTTCGTCCGCCCCGATAGGAGAGCGTCAGGAGATCCGGGTACAGGAGGACCTCGGCGATGCCATTGCGTGCCCTACGGAGAATTTGCGCTACCTGCCAAGCTGGTCCTTCATATCTGACCGCTTCTTCGTAGGCTCGTAGCTGGCCTTCCGCCCGCCACTTTCCGTCATATTCCGGTTGTACAATTTGTGAGGGTCTGTTGGATTTGGGCACCTCGATTTCTAAGTGTGACTCGCATGTGTTTGCTCAATGCTCCCGTTTGATAACAGGGCGCAATCATCTAGTCAAGGAGCCCGCGGAGTAAAAAACGTCAGGTGATCGCCGCCCAGCTCAATCCCTTGAATCATCTTAGGTTGGCGAAGCAGTGAGTTCTTACAGTCATAACGTCTAGTGCGTGGCTTTACTCCTGGCGGGTGCCCACTCTGGGGCTTTATATTGGGCTCCCCATGGGCCATGTGGCGTCGAATGTGTATGTGTGCGGGGGGGTGGGAGCCTAAACGGATTCGCCGTCACAGGCGAACGCCCCCGATCGGGGCCGTAGTTTGGGCGTCTGATGGGTCGCCAAATGTTTGAGTGATGGGCCAATGCGGATACGGATCTGCGGACACATGCGAGGGCCCCCATTGAGGACCCAGTCAGTTGGCCTGCATGGGCAGGAGAGGCGGAGCGATGAGCGGAAGCGGATTCGCAGACGCATTCGAACACCCACATTAGGGCCGTATTCGGGCCCCCCCCATGGGGCCGCAGGTGTGCGAGTGGTGAGCCGGAGCGGCTCCGCGGACGCATGCGGCAGCCCCCCATTGGGGCTGCAATTGGGGCTCCCTGGTGGGGCGCCAGGCGTGCGATGGGTGAGCTCAGACGGGCTTAGCGGACTCTTGCGAACGCTTCCCTCGGGGGCTGTCGGTGGGGCTCAAACGCGTGGCTGGTGAGCTAAAATGAACACGAATGATGCGTGCGGGCGCCACCATGGGGTACCTGGTGGGACGATTTCCGTGTGAGGGGTGAGCCGAAACGGGTCTGCGGACGCATGCCAGCGCCTCCTTTGGGTTTGCAGTTGGGGTCCTTCTGAGGCGTCGAAAGAGTTAGGGACGCGCCAACGCAGAGCTGCAGAAGCACGCGAGCGCCCCTTCTGGCCGTCCAGTCAAGACGCTGAAATGCTGACCACTTTGTCTTCAGAAGGGTCTCTGGTTTTCGGGCCGCCGCCGTAGGCTCGGGTCGGGAGCCCCTTCGTGGCCGAGGCTCCTCGTGGCCAGAGCAAGCCCCGTTTGTGCCTTGCTTGGTATGCCCCATGGTAGCACGATGACGGCGGGGGGATGGGCCAACATTTTTTTGCGTCGGCGGCTAGGCAGGGGTCGTCTGCGCTGGCGGAGTAAGCTAGCTAAGCGGGTGCGCCGTTGTAGCGAATTGGCCGGCGTGCAAGAGCGGGAAACAGGGGGGACAGAACGGGCGGCCGCAGAGGGGGGGGGGAGAGGGGATGCGCCAACACAAAGACGCAGACGCATGCGAACGCCCCCCCTTTGGGGCTGTAGTTGGGGCCCCCCAGTGGGCGCGAGCGATGCGAGTGCGCGAGCCAAAGCACCAGCCTGAGCGGATCCGCGGACGTGGACAAGCGCCCCCGTCTGTGGACGCAGCTGCGGCTTACAGTTGGGCGCCAGACCTGAGGGGTGAGCCATCGAAACAATGGAGCCTGAGACTGTCTGGGATCTCCTCGTCGCCCTGGCCCGAGACCAGGTAATTATTCAGGGCCAACGTCGGGGGGATCGGCTCACGGGAGGATGCATCAACCCACAATCGCCCACTGATCGCCGAGAGTGGTCCGATTGCCCACCTTGCCCAGGAACGTGCGGATTCCCTCTCGGGGGCCTATCGCCAATCTATCGGCGATGTATCGCCGATTCCAGCTCGATGTTTCCCCCCCCTGAGCCAGTCCCCCCCTAACGTTCCCCCCTTCTGCTCCCGTCCATTTTGCTCTCTCGTCGTCGTCGTCGTCGTCGTCGCCGTCGTCGTCGCCGCCGTCGTCGCCGTCGTCGCCTATTTTGTCTCTCGCGCGCGACTGCGAAAGCTACGGCCCTGAGGCCGAGTCCTTCCTCCGCCTGGCCGTGGACGGAAGGGAGGCCCTCCTGGGTCCAGACCATCCGCAGACGTTGTGTTCCGTGGCCAGCTTGTCGTCGCTGCTGCAGGCCATGGGGCCTCCTCCTCCTCCTCCTCCTCCTCCTCCTCCTCCTCCTCCTCATCATCATCATCATCCTCATCCTCATCCTTCTACTGTCTTTTCTTACTTTTTTCTCCTATCCTTATTCCTTATTAGAATATACTCCTACTCCCCCCTCAGGCCGGCAGATAGCGGGCGCATCCGGGTGGTCCCATCCTAACCTGTAAAAAACAATACAAAATCAACATTTTTCTTATTTTTTCCTCTCGACATGGACGTCCTGTCGTCCACGGCGATAATCCATTGCAAAAAATACCACAAAGAGCACACGCGCGCGTTCATGTCAGAATCCTACCGAACACCGTGTGTTTGCAAGCATTTCAACATAAAAACATCAAAAACCCAATGTTTTTTTCCAGAAAAAATTGTACAAATTTCCCGCCCGGGCTTCTTGCTGAAATCATAGGAAAACCATAGGAATCTTAAGAATTCGGTCAAATCCAGCGATTTCACGTCATCGCGCGGTGCACTCGCGATGCTCTGTCATGCACCCAGGCCGCAAATCCTGTGCAAAAAATATTACAAAGAGCGCACTCGCGCGTTCATGTCAGAATCCTACCGAATACCGTGTTTTTGCAAGCATTTCAACATAAAAACATCAAAAACCCAATGCTTTTTCACAAAAATGCTTTGGGGTGTCCTGTGAGACCGTCGGGCTTCCTCCGGCCACCTCTGGCTTCCTGCGGTGTACCGGGCCATTCTCGACTCGTCTGGCAATGCGTGCGCGGCATTCAACACGCGCTCGCCAGTTCCCGTCGGCAACCGCCATCGCGGCCGCATCAGCGCTACCAAACCGGCTGGCCGGTGTGACTTCGGCCCCCAGTCGTGCCAGCTTTGCTTCTTATGTTGTGGGAGGGCGGGTGGGACTGGGCATGCCATGCTTGACTCGCTCGAGCTGGCTAGCTTGACCCATACTCTTCCTCCTCCTCCACCTTCTCGTCCTCCGCCTCGTCCCTCCTCCTTGTCCTCATCCTGATCATCCCCCTCCTCTCTCCAATCTCTCAATATGAGTCCGGCTCTCCACTCTTCCCGGATCTTGTCGGAGCGTGGCCTGTTTTCTCTTGCATCTTATTTATCAGCGCGTAGGATTCCAAAACATGTTCATACAGTATGTTGTTTTCAATCGGAACGGTTCGTTCTTTCGAGATAATAATCCTTCTGCATCGTTGGTTGTATTTTTGGATGCGCTATTTTGCTCCCGTCGTTCAAAATGGCGCTCTCTCCCCTCCCCAGCGCGGGCCACAATTCTGGACCCGAGTCCTTCATCGTCGTTGTTGCTCCGCTCCTTTCTCCTCCTCTGCCCTCCACTGGTCCTCCTGCTTATCCTGCTTCGCCTACTCCTGCTCCTGCTGCTGCTGTTCCAAATCGTCCTGCTCCTTCCTCATCCTCATCTTCTTCTTCCTGCTCATCCTCCACCTCCTCCTCTTCCACTACTGCACTCAGGCCCCATTTCCTGACTGCCAAAACCTCGATGGGGGGTCCTGTCGAGGTTTTCAGGTCCGCTGTGACACCTGTCGGCGGATAGAGAGCAAGTCAGCGCAATGGGAAGGGATGGGAACGAGGGGTAGGATGTCAGACATGGCGCGAGCGCACCCATCTTGCCTCTCTTCATGCCTCTTCCTTAGGAATGACTCCCCCCTCGCACAACCAGACGTGTGGCCTTACGCCAGGCCCGCGGGTTTTGCTCAAGATTTCTCCGAAACGTGCTCTCCGAGACTCTCCTGGGACGGAGGGCCGGTTTCGAAATTCGGTGGCCGCTTCAGCACCGCGCAAATTCATGCTTAATAGTTTCAAAGTGCAATCAGGTGCAAGGACGGAGGGCCAGTAGTTTTCAAAATGCGGATCTCGCCTTAGCGCCGCGCGCATCATTCGCTTCCTAAAGTTACTAGAAGATACACATATGGAGGGGGGTAGTTTCCGAAATGTGGTTTCCGCCTTAGCGCCGCACGCATCCGTCTTCAAGAACCTCAAAAACTACAAGGATGGAGGCCGGCTCATGTTCAAAATGCAGCTGACCCGTTCAATATTCTTCGCGTGTTCTGACTCGACGTTCTAACTTGTGCACCGGTTACTCGGATGGACGGGGCCTCCGTCTCAAGGTGCGGTTCTCGCTTGAGGCCTCCGCCATCTCTGCGGCCCCGCGCCGCAGATTTTGCAGCAGCTGCACGGGTGGAGGCCGGCTCCTTTCCGAGAGGGTGCTTTCGCCCGGGACGTTCTCGAATTGTTGGGAAGGCCTAATGCCTTGCGGCCAGCGCTGCCGACCCCGAAGGGGGACGACGACGACGACGGCGACGGGGAGGCGGTCGGAGGCGGGGGGGGGGGCTGGGGGAGGAGGCGGGGGGGGCTGGGGGAGAGGCGGGGGAGAGGCGGGGGAGAGGCGGGGGGATGAGGTTTCTTCAAAGTGTGTTGCCCGAGGTTGCGCAACACTGGAATGGATGGAGGGCGGCCCCTTTTCAAAAGTTCGCTCTCGCTTGAAACCTCCTCAACTGGTGCGGCCAGATCTCAGGAATAGTGCAGAATATGCATAGATGGACGACAGAGCTTTGTCAAAACAGTGTTGTCGTTGTACAGTATTTGAATTTGATTGCCCACTTCATTGGGTTTCTGGGTTTCTGTGAACCAGAGGGATGGAGTGTAGACCCTTGACACGACGGGGTCTCGCCGGAGTGGCGGGCCCACAGAGCGCTCGTCATCCAAGGGTGGCGCTTCCAGCAGTGGAAAATACCCGTAGGGACTTGTGACCACGGGACTCGAGGGAGGGAGGGCGTCTTGCAGCATTGGCGCATCCTAGGTTTAGGCTGGCCATCCTCCTCCTCGCCATCCTGGTCGGCCTCCTCTATGTCGTTCTCCTCCTTCTCCTCCTCTTCTTCTTCCTCCTCCTCCTCCTCCTCCTCCTCCCCCTTCCTCTCATTTCCTCTCTTCCCTCCTCCGCTCCACTCTCCCTTCCCCCTTGAACTCTCTCTCAACAGCTGGGAACTGGTGCTCTGCTCCGCTACGCACGCGCATTTGAGCGAAGCGACCTCACGCAGTGGCTTGCGCGGACTGCCAACTTCATGGCGCCGGTCGCTTCCGCGCGGCAGCTTCGGCGAGTGCGGGCGCGGTTGCGGGGCCAGCGGGCCAGCCCCCGCCTGACGCGCGCAGGCGCTTGAGCGGCATGTCTGACTGCTTGCGCCTGACATGGCGAGCAACTGACATGCGAGTGTTTGGATTCTTGGTAAGTTCGCTCGTCGGTCGCGGGCGTAAGCCACAGTCGCAGAACGCGGGCGTGGGTCGCGGACGAGGCCGACGAACGTAGGTCGCGGTCGCGGGTCGCAGGCGTGGGTCGTGGGTCGCGGGCGTGGGTCGCGAGCTGGTGCGATCACGATCGTGTGTCGCAGGTGTGTGTGTGTGTGTGTGTGTGTGTGTGTCGACGGCGCGGTTCGCGAGCTTGGTTCGCAGGCTTGGCCGCGGGCGTGCGTCACAGGCGTGGGTCGCAACCGCCAGTTGTGAGCCGAGGCCGTCGATCTAAACTACAGCCCACAGAAACGGACGGCTGCGAAGACGGGGCCGGCGCCAGAGCCAGGGGCGGAGCCCCTAGGCAATCAGGCAGTACAGAAAAGTGTGTTTGGGGATTCGTTTTCCAGCGCCAGGGCCGGGGACGCCGGGGCCGGGCTCCTCCGACGAATGCTTAGGTTCCCGGAACCCGAACTTGTTCCTCCGCGTCCCTCTTTCTCCCGATTTTCTTTTGCTTCTTTTGTTTGTTCTCTCGCTATATGCTTTATTTCTCGCTCTCTCTCTCTCTCTCTCTCTCTCTCCTTTTCTCTCGCTCCCTCTCCCTCTCTCCCTCTCCCTCTTTCTCGGGGTGACTGCCAGGGAAGGGTCGCCATCACAAGCTGAAGCACGCAATGAGCGTCCAGGATTTTTCCCTACCTGGGCTCTGCCTAGAAGGGTTCTTACTGTATAAGCTTAAAGGGCCGGGCAGTGGACCACGCCCTGGGCGGCTCCCCCGGCATCCGCCCCGCGGTTCCCCCAGCTTAGCTTAGCTCATCTGAGCTTAGCTTATCTCATCTTAGCTTAGCTTATTCATCTTAGCTCAGCTTAGCTTAGTTTAGCGTTGCTTATATCATCTTAGCTTTGATTATCTTAGCATAACTTAGCGTTGCTTAATTATCTCAGCTTAGCTTATATTAGAATAGCTTATCACATCTTAGCTCGCTTATCTCATCTTAGCTGATCTCATGCTTAGCTCATCTTAGCTTAGCTTAGCGTTGCTTATCTCATCTTAGCTTAGCTTATTTCATCTTAGCTTAGCTTAGCTTCATCTTAGCTCAGGTTTATTCCCTACCTAGGCTCTGCCTAGAAGGGTTCTTACTGCATTCCCTACCTAGGCTCTGCCTAGAAGGGTTCCTACCATGTTGGTTTAAAAGGCCGGGCAGTGTTCCACGCCCCGGGCGGTTCCCCCAGGATCCGCCCCGCGGTTCCCCCGCTTAGCTTAGCTTAGTTTAGCTTAGCTTAGCTTAGCTTGGCTTGGCTTGGCTTAGCTTGGCTTGGCTTAACCTAGCCTAGCTTAGCTTAGCTTAGCTTAGCATAGCTTAGCTTACCTTAGCTTAGCATAGCGCAGCGCAGCATAGCGCAGCG